GTACTTGAGTACTATTTTTGAGAAGTCAGCATGTAACAAAGTAAACTTTTTCTGCAATTTTTTTACTTGGAACGAAGATGTTTCAAGAAGTAACGTTTTACTTCGTTATTTTCATTTTGTGGCGAAGTATTTCGTTACTCCGAACTTTTGTTTAATTTTACGTGATTTATTCCCGATTTATTTTAATTTTGGGATAGGTAATAGGGCCTCTACATGCGTCCGGGATCTCTCGTTTGTGGCTTACTTATAAGCATTATTTATTTAATGGATTTCTTATATCTTCAATGGGGTCTGGAAAATAGATCATGCCGTGAAAGATTGCATATTATAGCATTGCATATGTTTTGTGTCTTTTGTATGTCAAATGTCAATCCATTGGAGAAGTCCCCCCCCCCCCCCCCCCCTACACGCTACAGACCAAAGTACTTTTACTTTTTATTTCAAGTATTTTTTAAGGATACTTTGTACTTTTTACTTAAGTACGTTTTGCCTCCGGTACTTTTTACTCTTACTCAAGTCGTTTTATTGTTAATTACTTCTACTTTTACTCGAGTACAAATTCAAAGTAATTTTGGCAATGATGTCAATGTAAGGTGTATGGGTAACTAGCAGAATCTTGGGCATTTAACTCGACAGAACCAATTCAAAATAGGTTTTGTATGGGTGGGAATTATGAGTGTGAAATTTATATAGTTAAAATTCTCTCATTCTCATCGGTGTTATATTGGACTGCCGCTTGACAGGCGTGCACGGCGTCTTCCTAATATCGTGATTCAATCATTTCGTGTGAAACAATTAACAACACCTTAACTACGACAAAACGTACTTAGGAAATTGTCAGAAATGATAAATTACATCGACAATTAGAGTGATTCATGAGCGCCAACAAGACGGCAAATGCGGTAATAGCCTTCCAACCAACGATTATTTTAAGCACAATAGCATGAAATGACGTACAAGTCATTTTCTATGTTAATTTTTCTGTGATTACAGTACGTAGGAATTTTGCTTGTGTAAGTTTTGAAGGATTGGTAAGAAATTTTGAGGGGCAGACTCATTGTTTAATTTAACACTGAGTCAGTTTCCTCGAACATTTCTTACAAATCCTTCAAAATAGTTTAGAATTCCTCGCGAGCATCAAGCCTTGTGACGTCATTATACATAAGGTCTATTGTTCGAGTCACGGGTAGCCAACTTTCCTACCGAAAACATTGTCAATATGTTTTCTGTAAGCAACACTGTACCAATAGGAGATGGCCGGGTCTCAGATTGGAACCAGTGAGCTCCATATATAACTGGAGCGAGAAGTCGAATCCAAAAAGTGAAGCCAAATATGGAGCTAGTCAGTTTCAGTCCCTTGCTGTTGTTTTTGTCTGCGCGGTCTGCAAGGAGTGTGCCGAAATTTCGTATTTTGATTTCACGAATAATACTATATGGTTTTATGAACTGACAACGTGATTAACGATATACGGTCCGTTAGAAAAAACTGGAATTAGTTAGGGAAAATGGTGTTAAACTGAACTGTTTACGCAACCTTCATAGCTATTTTACGACAATTCGGCCATCTTGGGTTCGCTTTTCTTATATAGGCCGAATGACTGAAATTCTTGCTGCAGATATATTTTATAGTTCTCATGCTCTACACTGATTGGAACTGATAGAACAATCCAGTGAACGTTTTCTGTAGTAACTCTAGATCAATAAGAGATGGCTGGGGTGATCCTTACTGGACCTCTATAGTGAAAACAGTTAAGAACTGATAGGAGCTATCCAGTGTTGAACTAAAGTTAGCATATAGTTTTGGACGAGTAAAACATGAGTGACAGCACGCACGCATACTCCTATGGAAATTTTCCAATAAAAAACAGAAGAGTTTTCTAGCAAGGAATTTTTAGCAACAAGTTTCCTAATGCTATTGGTAACTGCAAAATTTGTGATAAACTATTTTCAAGCCATCAAGAACGGATGCTGCTGTTTCCGATTATTTCCAAAAACGGTCATTTTATTCTCCAGGATATCAAGGGTTCCAAGAATAGATGACATCCCACTTAAAAAGGTCATAAATTTTGATACTTGTTATACATGTAATAAATCACGCAAATTATCCGACATCTGATATAGTCACAGCACTTAAAGCACATGTTTTTAATTTAAAAAATCGCTGGAATATTCCGAATACATGACAGATGATTGGAATTTCATTCTCTCCCAGATGCGTCGAGAGTGTCCCGAATCGAAAAAATGCATAGCTATATTCCCGATTTGAACACATGCAGCTAATTATTAATGGCGCATCGAAAACACAATCTAAGTGGAGATGAATTGTAACACTAAGATTATTAAAATTGGTATAGTGGCTGTTTAAGAGGCAATTGTTTTCTATTTCGCGTGTGATCATGCGATAAAAAGTGTTCAAAACCGAAAATCTTTTTGGCGTTCCTCTCAAAATTGATTTGTTTTAAAAAAATGTTGAGAAGCATAAATATAATAAAAAATTGTAAACTAAAATACAATTATCAATGATTCTTTAAAAGTGACGCTATATGCATATTTACAGCAATATATATTCCCTTTGGCCGCCATCTAAACTTTTAAAAAAATTTACAGATAAAGCACTAAACCATACTTTTTAAACTTGTTTGCCGATTGAGCGTAAATACAAATTTTGGATGCTGAAAAATAAAAATTTTGAAAACATTTTTTTTATACTCATTATCGTTTTAGCGCGTCGGTTATGTAAAACATACAAAAAACGTCTTTTTAAAGTAAAGGGTCATATCAACCCATATTTTGAAACACAAATGATGCATGCTTTACAAATGATGCATGTTTACATGCTTTGCATGGCTGTTTTACAATAAACTGATGTGTGATCCACCCAATGGACCAACAAATCGTATACGTGCGCGTGCATCATGTTAATATACGCGCGTGCATCATGTTAATACGAAACCTTTGGGTGCTCCATATATATATATATATCTGGAGCGTGAACTCGAGTCCAATGCACTGAGGTCCAATGGCGGAAATTGAAGAGCTATTGGACCTCAATTCCAGTCCCTTTCTATAGTTCGTGTCTGCGCGGTTAACACGAAGCTGGCAAGGACTGTATCATATTTTTTAGAAAAAGCTTGTAACAAGTCTGATATAATGCCATCTCCAAACTTGCGACAACAACTGGGAACAAGCAGTGCGAACCCAACTTGTCGACAGCGCTAGCTGGCGCTTGTGAACAGATTTGTAACAACTAGTTTGCACATGCACATGTAACAAATTGTGCGTTTTTTACGCGTGTATATTGTTATATTAGCTAACAGTCATTCTGCGAGATGTCAATCATCGATAAATTTCCAGTGCAAGTGTAATAGAAAAGGTAACGTTTTTGAATTAAATATTTATACGACTGTATATACGTTTGACTAGCGTTGATAACAAGTCATTTTGTTCGAGTCCAAGTAGCCTGCGTAGCAGGCGTTTAGTGCGGGCGGGAGAAGAGAGGGCGTCGTAAACGCCCGTCGTAAAGTCACAACTCGCGTTAATCTGATTAACAAGTCAAGTGACAAGTCACAAAAGTTGCGACTCATTTTTGGTCGTCTAACATGTTAGAATAACTTGAATGGGTTTTATAATCTAGGGAGGAGATATTTTTAGTTCAGATCGACAAATTTAAATTTGGCTTCAGTATACAACAGCTTTTGTTGCAAACCAGTTTGACGTCAATGGCCCCATGACTACGAAATATTTTGACAAAGAAATATCGTAATCTGATAACCACGCTATTTGTGTAATGTCAGAAAAAACATGCAACAACCAAAAGTACATTTGAAGCAACATCTAGTTCCTTACATTCAAATATGTAACACCGTTCTAACTCAAGCTTGTTGTTGAACGTCGATTGGCGTAAAGATATATATATATATATATATATATATAGCTGATATTCGTCAACACATGAAAACACACTTGACAAAAGTCATGGTCTTTATCAATTGCTGAAGAATATTATTGACGTATAAAAGCTATATACTGCAACCATACACCATTTCTAATATATATTTATATACAGTCTTGTCTTTTTCTCAAAAGTTTTTATATTCTATGCCAATGTAGGCCTATCATATCATGACTGAAAACATATCAATGGACAATGCGATTTTTCCCAAGCACTTCAGAAGTTTGTTTTTAATAATTGAACAAACGTGAGTAAGAAACAAAGAAGTAGAATAAAAGAAAATGCCTTTATTAAGACTAATTTTCCTGTATTCATATGTCCATAAAGAACATTTTTACTGCAGAAGGATTTTGGCTTAAAACATGTTTTCACAGCAATTATTACAGCTTAATAACCATCCTCATTATACCTTCTTTATATCTATGAAGGAACGAACACATTCGTGCATAGCAATTAAAAATCATGTTCATTTTAATAGAAGCAAATTACTATTATTAAACACAATTATATCATTTACAATATTTTTGTGGTGAGGAATTTTGAAATTGCCCTTTTATCTGTCATGTTTTGGAGAGGATTAGCTATCTAAGCTTTAAAACGCTTTGAAAAGCTTTTATATCAGTTCTAGACTGTTCTCCTTAGAGGAGAGGTGTGGCTAAACTATTCCTTATTATTCCAGCGTTACTATACAGGAGGAAAGTTCACCTATAAATTAAACTGGCTAAATGCTAGATAGTTCTATCACTTCTAAACTGTTCTTCCATGAAGTTCAGCATTAGGGTCATTTCTTATTGATCCAGTGTTACTATATACATGAAGAATCTAAACAAAACTAACTTTATTGATACTGGATAGCTCTATCACTTCTAAACTGTTCTTTCTATATAGAGAGAGGTCGAGTATATGGGCCCTCCCTGATTGTTCTATATAGTGTTACTACAAGAGGAAACCGCAGACATGCACTCTACGGGGTTTGGTTAAAAAGCAACCTATATATTTTCGAAATTACTCACCACCTGACGATTCCTATACGGACGAAACAGACTGTTGTGGGTAGTTTTTTTGAGGTAAAACGAAAAACTATATTACGCTCTATCTACATGGTATTGAGCACTGTTTGTGTTTCGTAAACCAAAAACTTAAGCTATATATATATACATTTATAGCATTCTAAGGACTTCGTAGCTTTAAAGCAGGAACTTTAAAATCTTACGAGATATTTGGGATGTGATTTTCTGCTGTGTTAATAAAACAATCTATATATAACACACTTAAGACTATACACAACATGTAATTTCCTTTTGTATATTTCAAAGCCTATATAATAGCTAGGTCTACTATATTTGCTATTGATTATTCGTGATATAGAAAGGAACTACAAAACTCGAAATTCCAGCCTTTTTCAAGTTGTTCTCTGTAAACAGGAAATTTAACGTATAGGTATGTAGGTCATAGTTCTTTGCTAAAAAGTGCTGAAATGCATTATTATTTCCTTATCGAAGTTGCATACTCTTCCCACGTATGCTAAATATATAGTCATTCTTTATATAAGTTAGCACGAGCGGATCACATAATTGATGTCATGAGTCGATGTGAAGTTCCTATTGACCTTGAGTGATAATGAATGATGCGGGCCCTTTTCATGCATCATGACATCATTTCACTACATATACCAGATTTATAGCACGCATGGAGTAACAGGATAGCACTTCCCTTGACTGAATTTACAGTGTAATTTGGCTACCAAATTTAGATAACTCACATGTCTAGTTACTATTGTTCCAGTTGACAGAAGCAGAGAACAAAAGTAACTAAGCTTTAGAGTTATGTATAAGAATTACAGCTAATTCAAAAAAGGTTGTCCTTCGCAAACCTTAAACTCTAAGCGCGCAAAGCTTAATGGGAGCACAAGTTTCAAGCTTAGTAGTTGAATATTGCAGCTATATTTGTGAATGAATTGTTCTCGTAAGGAGATATTTACCATGTCTCTAAGAAATGGGTCCCATATATGATTTCTAAACTGATAAATGATGCTCCCATTATGCTTTGGTTTGAATTAGAGTTTAAGGTTTAAGGCTTATAGAGTTTAAGGTTTAGATTTTAAGATTTGCAAAGCCCAACCTTTTTTGAATTAGCTGTATTCACTCGACAATTCTGAAGCTTAGTTACCTTTGTTCTATCCTATATGCTTCTACATGTATACTAAAACAATGATAGAATTAGGCATGTGAATTCTCTAAAGTTGTGCATTGAACATGAACAAATGTTAGCCAAATTTGTCATGACCATGGACAATAGACCCATTGCACTGACGTCACAAATCCTTGGAGTGTCCTCCAGATGCTCCCTAACAATGTCTGTTCGGGTACAACAACCACATACAACGCAAAAATTAACCATTTAATTACAAAATTATTATCAACTTTTACAAAAGTTGCTTTCTTTACAAAAGTTATATTATGCATAGATTGCTAATTTGTCCTCCAAATGCATCGTCACCGGCGCTGTGACGTCATGTGCAAAGGGTCTATAGCAGACATATTCAAGTAAAAATAGAGAAATATTTATTTTTAACAGCACCGTTTTGGAATAAACAGCAATTATGTGATTTGAAGGAATTTTTAGTTATGCCTAAAATTCTCTTTTAGATGCGAATATTTGTACTGAACCCTTTAGGGAAACGTAAATAAATTATTTGCTATTGTATAGTATATACCAAGTCAGTTTAATAACCTTTGGGATGAGCACTGAGCAGACTATACATTTAGCTTGGACCTCCAATGTGGAGGACAAATTTTCTCAAAAACTGAAAGTAGTTTACTGATGCCAAATCTGAGTTGTTCATGAAACGTGACATGTACAAAATATATAAACGTTTGTTTTTTTGTGGTTTCAGTGCAAACAATAGTTTCAGTGCAACTAGAAAAGATTCTTGTAGTCACGTAGATGGTAGTATTTCCGTATTTCCATATTTGTATACATAAAACAACATGATGTATTGTATCCGTTTTAGCGAGCTCAAGCAAACGACGTTCCTGTTAACACGGACGTCAGCAGCCTAGTCCCTAGGCCTCTTAGTCAGGTAGCCGAGGGAAGACTGGTGATTAAAAACTCAGTTTGTGGTAATCTTCAATACATACGACAAAACACAAATTTTTAAAGAATTTTGTTTACTTGCACGAACGCTACGATGTAAAATTCCGCCAAAATGAGGTATACCAAGTTTTGGAGAGGTACTTCTATGACGTCATCATGCAAGAGACCGAATATCGAGAGGTGTTTTGAGTCAGTTAAGAGCCTGACGTGATAGGGTTTAAAAATACTATGAATTTATATCATGCGTCAGAACTGGTACGTGAAAAGGACGTATATCCGTGATCTGCAGCCAATTTCCACGTGTATAGTTGCCATATTGTTGATGGTTTTGTATGGATGCAAATCTCGAGTGTCACACTCGAATTTGGATCAACAAGACCCATCGACAATTGTGGGTATAATGCATGGTTTACATGATAAGCTACAAAAATTACAAAATCGAGCAGCTCGAATTAGGAGCAACTATGAAACACGCCCTTCTCAATTTGAAATAACCTAAATTGGCCAAAACTGAAAGATAGACCAATGAAAGAAATTCCTGTCTAATCTACAAAATATTCCACAAATTATGGGCCCATGTTACCTCTCACGGCCGTTCAATTGAGGTAACTTAAGTCATTCTCATGATATACGAGGTCATGACCATACAACTTTGTCGTCCCTACATAAACCAAACAACAATTTTTTTAAAAGTAGTCTCAGTATATCCATTATAATGGAGCAGTGATATGGAATTCAATACCAATTGAAATTAGGAATTCCACCTCATTAAAAATCTTTAAAAATAAATTGTAAAGAACAATTTGTTATGTAGATAAGTGTATTAATTTTTATTGTCTTGTAAATATGTTGTAAATAATTCTACTGTAGAAGATCGTTTTAAGTTAGATGACAGGCCTCCGTGCTTAAACAAAGTTCACTATATCAATTTTCACCTAGTTCCGAGAAAAACAACGACAGTTTATTGTAGAATGCTAACTATATATATATACTGCATGGACAGCCACTATATAGTACCCCTAAGACATATCAATATACGTCATATTGTTCAATGTCACCCATATATAATGAAGGGTCACCTCAAGAATCATTATTCCTCAACTAAAAATTTTCAAAATTATCTATTAAATTAGTAAATATTTTAAATACTTTACACAACCTACACAGTTCTAGGGCATTTTTTTAGAAGAAAGACAGCTCTTTGCGTGATACAGTGCGAAATATTTTTAATGATCATTATTTTAATATTTCGATGTCAGAAAAATCGTACTATATGGAGTATAGTGATGTCTCGTGCTATATTTTGTGGGGTGGAAAAAATGAGGTTTTGGTTAAGGGTTATGGTTTAGGATTTGAGATGTTAGTGGCGTGGTTCATAATGGTGCACATGCCTTTGCGACATAGTTAGAAAGGTTATGACTTATGACAATAATTTATGTAGATTTCACTGGATGGAAATGAAAAATGAGGAACACCACAATGCACTAAAGAAGCCTTATCATTGCCCATGCATCGCATCCCACTCCATTAACTCTGATCGCACATGCAATCACTACATTAGTTTAGTTTAGTTTAGTTTAGTTTAGTTTAGTTTATTGTTATTGAGTTTCTCACATTGGTGAGCGGATTTTCACAACAGGCTATTGCCCATGCAGTTGATAGGGGATCCGAGAAGACGTGAACCTGTTTAACTATTTACTGATGTCAATGCAAAGGTAGCACTTTCTTCTCAATTATTTTAAGACCTTGAGCACAGAATACTACACAGAAGTCCATCTCCATTGTTTTTAGCGTAAGCTCTATTCGTCATGATTCGTCACTCAGCAAGTACCGTAAACAGAAGCAGTCCCCCTCCTGGAAATACTAAAAATGGCGTATGTCCAGGGGGGTGACTGCTTCTGTTTACGGTACTTGCTGAGTGACGAATCATGACGAATAGAGCTTACGCTAAAAACAATGGAAATGGACTTCTGTGTAGTATTCTGTGCCTTGAGTATAGACGTCCGACCAAGGATTGAACCCGGGTCTCCCAGCTTGAAAGGCATTAGCATAGTGACCACGACACCAGAGGTGTTGGCACCACATTGATGCCTTTCGTATAATTCGTAAATTAAACGTTTTACTCAAGAAGACTCGCATATAGGAAGCACTATAATACAGTTTATGTACCGTTCATATTTATCTGATTATAATTTCGTCTCACGCAGTCCCATATAACGAGAGTGTTTTCAAAGATTGTCTCCGGTAGGCGGGCACTTCGGTTTCCTTTTGTAGGAACACACCAATCTGGACCGCTATATAGGGAGAACAGTTTAGAACTGCTATATGAACTATACATATATAAGGTTATAGTTCAGCTTAATTTTGCATGACTGCTGTAGCTATGCATAAAAAGAAACTAGGTTGCAGTATATAGCATTTCAGAGTTATCCTCTAAGATTCGAAAAGTATTTTCATATACCTTCTGTTCGGGCCATGCATGCATATTCCGGTAATGATTTTTCGTTGTTCTCAGAAATGAATTAGGGTAAGTTATATATGGAATGTAAGTACGACACTGTTCTCATATAAAAAAACAACTAAATTGCACTGTAATTAGAATCTGAGGCCAATTTGCTGGATGCCTCTTGTATGGCGCTTACACATTCTTATAGAGCAAAAACAAAAACCTTATTATAACAGTAAAACATCTATAACATTAAACATAAAATCAGACAACTTGGTAAATACTTTAAATTTTTTAACTAACATAAAAGGAAATTTTTTCGAGATGAAAAATGATGACATATTGCACGATTTCAAATTTATTTATCATCTGGAAAAGCGTTCTTGGTAGAGATGAACGGAAGACATTAAAGTGCTATAACACGCCTACACCAATAACTAGCGTTAATAACATAGTGGTTTGGATTTAATAACAGTTGTTGCTACCCATATACAACAAAATAAGTGGGTGCTAAGTGCTTCAAGTGATGGGGCGTTGGATGTCACGCGAACAAAGAGGATCTGCCTTATCGTGTTCATTTAAACCTAACTATATAACTATTATTTTATATAATGCATATCCATAGATCAGTTCTAACTAGGTTTTATACTTAAGTTCTGTTCTGTTCTCCCTAGAGGTCCAATAAAGCCATGATTGCTTCTATTGTTTCAGAAAGGGGATCAATTGAAGAATACAAATCCCAACATCAAATCAACGCTATATCATACATGCTGTCATTTCAATTGATCTTCCTGTGTAGGTCCAGTAAGGGGCATCCCTTTTCATTTTACAGTGTTTTTCCAGTCAGTAAAAACCTCAACTTTATTTATTGTGGATAATTCTATCAGTCCAAAACTGTTCTCACTTGAGGTCCATTAAGAGCCTTCTTTTTATTTTTTTTCATCCAGTGTTACTACAGGAGGAAACCCAACCTAAACTATAACTCCATTTATACTACATAACAGTCTTTAACATGCAGCTACCATGGACCTTAGAAGAAAACACTCTATCAGTTCCAAATTGTTCTCCCTATGTAAGGGTTCATGCAGTAAGGACCACGCTATCTTCTTGGTCCAGTTATGCTGTGAAGGAGATAAACTAAACTATTTAAACTTATGTGTCATTTCTACTACATCTTGTAATATAACAAAATTTTTGGTTTAAAAAACTCAACCTGTAATTAAATTTGGTTCAAAATAACTTTAATAGGAGTTAAATGCATGAAGTCCTTGAAATTATATAGCAAAGAAGATGGTATTGCCGTTTGGTGGCCACAAAAAGAATTAAGAGATGTGGTTTAATTTGCTATAGTTGCCACGGCTATATTTAGTATTAGTAAATATTTCTGAAGCTGACCACAATCTACTGTCTAAAACATATACAAATTCACACATACTCATCACTTCACAAACAGAGGCTATATACATTATATATTAAAAGATTTTTCTATGAACTACGAAAGCTGTAGCTATATATGCATTAACAAACCACAACTCCTGGACACAGTAAATTCATGTACCTATAATCTAGGCTATATACAGTTCTCTGCTATTAACCTATTTTTATAATGTTAACTGATTGAGACAATTAATGGACTGTTCAAAATAATACTATCATTGTCCACGTGGGGCAAAACCAATCGATAACATAGAAAGATATAAATAAACAATAGGTATAGGCTACGTGCATAAAAAACAATTAGTAAGATCTTCTAGACTATGAGATAGGCCTACATGATATATTATGAATCTTTTGATCATGATGCTGTAATAGGCTTAGTCATGGACATAGTACTCATATAAAAATAATAAATTATCTAGGGAAGAGGGTTGTTTTAACAGCTAGATGTCTTTAAAACCATTAAAAAAACCCAAAATTCCTTTACAATTCAATAGATTCACACAGCGGTTTGGGGTTTGATGTCGCGGAGAAATCTAAATGTCTCTATATAATATCACAATTCCGGCTTAAATTTTACAGTAAAGTATATAACCTTGTATATGATATGACTAATATACGAAGACGTTTTGTGTTGGTTTTCTCAAACAAAACCAATCATGCAGTGTTTATGATTCGTTCTTTATGATTTCTATATATAGTTCATTGTCTGTTATTGTCATATGATCCGATACACGATTCCCCAAAATTGTTTAAACAAATATGTTATATACGCCATGAGACAGCATAAATTCGGAAACCAAACCCAAGTCCAAGGGTAAAAATAATTCACTATTATTACTATTATTCAAGCATGTAAGGCAATGATAACAAAAATCTGTTTTTGAAATTTTATTTTTGGTAGCAAATTTCAATCATTATATTAGCGACATTGTAAACCTATATTCTATATATGGTATTTAATAAGCTAAAAATTACGGTGTCAGCATCATAAAGTATCTATATGTATATGTATAAGAGATAAAAATGTACAAATTTCACACTAAATTAAATTTAATATTGTACAATGAATGTGCCTGCACATTCAACGAATAAATCTGGTATTATGTTCATTAAATGTTCATTAAGACCGTAGCTACAAACATTCTCATTCAATTAATAAAATTACTAAACTCTTAATTAAACCTTAATTGCTACATATAACCAAACTGCCTGCATATTCGGTATTAGTAGAATCTCTATTTTACCTGTATAAATAATACTTTTAAAGTTTTCAACTATGTTTTATAATTTTCAAATCAGTTCAGGTAGAACATTCTTCTACATAAGATGTCTCTTTCTTCAGTTCGTGGAAGAACCAGTGAAAAAATATTTAAGTTCATTCGAGCCGTCTCAGAGACATTCAGATTGTTACATAGTCAGGAAAGTGGGATTTCCCTTCGAGATAATTGCTGAGGTTCTCAATCGGGTCTATAAGCTTCGAAAAACTTAAGCCCTCGCCGAAAGTGTTTGTTAAAGGCGTAAGCGTTGTTGAGGTCTCCGGTCTCGCGTTCAGAAACGCTGACAGCGGTTGGTTCGTGATTAGGTTGTCTGGTTTAGGGGTCATTGGTGAAGTAGGGTTATTGAACGTGCCTAATAGCTGACCCTCGTTGTAGTCAGGAAAGTAGCACTTTAGCTCGTTGTTGGGAGTGTGTAGCATCTCAGACTCGAGTCCATTGAACCCCCTAGTGGGAATACCCGGATAGTCAAGTCCTTGGAATTCGTAGTTGTTCAATGGTGTCGATGGGTTCAATGAATCATAAGTTAGTCCACTGTAGAAGGAATTGTCATAATTATTATTATAGTCATAGTACATGGGTAATTGTTCATCGTAGTGAATGGGGGATCCGTTGTGGTGTACTGCACCCTGAACTAGAGTTGTAGGGTCGCATTTTGCTTGAATGATATTAAAAAGTTCCTGTGGTTTCAAGTTATCAAATCGCGCCTTCTTCATCGAAGCGCCATGATGTTTCTTGGTTTTCAAACGTTTCGGCGTGTACTTATAATCGGGATGTTTCAATTTATGTTGAGTTCGAAGCCGCTCCGCTTCTTGTATAAAAGGTCTTCGCTCTTCTTCTGGTAGCACTTGCCAAATTTTCCCCAGAGTCTTACTCAGTTTGGCGTAGTTTAAGTTCGGGTATTTCGTCGCGACCTTTCTACGGGCTACCTGTGCATACAGCATGAACGCGTTCATAGGTCTTTTCACCCGAGGTTCTTTCTCCCTAGTCGAGTCGCCTTGATGAGCCAAAGCCGAGAGAGAGGTGAGGTCAGAACTATGAAGGATGTTCGTGACTGCTTCTGAGATAGCGGGGTTCGCCTCGTATGACGGTTTAAGTATCGATAGTGCTTCGGGATTCTCAACCATTGTAACGGTGTACTTGTACGGGAAGCTATATTCAGTAGATACGCAGTTCTTTAAATACTCCCTTCGACTCGGAAGCTTTTACTTCTCAATGCTAAACAGTTATTCAGTATTATACACAACTTCTTCACAACCACTTAAGCCAATTTCACTCCTTGTCTTCAGAACATAAAAGCCACATAAATCTTGTCTTAATTCTATAGTTGTGTCTTGGTACACGTTTTGGCTTGTTTTGAAGCGAACTGATGCGCGATGGTCCATTATATACACTTGTTAAAGGAAGGATTGCATATAGAGTGCTCATTATAGAGCACGGAACAATTTGGCCATTCCAACGCTCAATTAAAGAGCTCCTAAGGGCGAAATTATACAAGTGTTTTTCGAAATGACACAACTGCATTGAGTAGGCGTAGAATCACAAGGAAGATTGACATCATAGAATGGCTGAATTTTGTAATCCCGTATATAGACTATAGTGTAGGTAAGCTCGGTTTACATCTGGTCATATGTAGCGATATATCTCTATAGAATCAGTAAAGGCTGATTTGCATACATTACGTTATAAACAATATGGAGTCACACTATTTCACATCGTCACGAAAGCAGTTGCCATAAAAGACACCACGCTTTAGCCACAATCAATTGAGCAATCAGTTTTCTTGGCATCACTTTGCCAAAAACATCTTTCAGGAAAGGTTTTTGGCATTACTATGTCACTATTTACATGTTTTCGTAGGAAGGCTTAGGCCTCACTAAGTGTGCAAAATTTCCTGTTTTGGGTTGAAACGTGATTCTATATAATTGCATTCGGCGGGAATCATCTCATTTTCAGGTAATCTGATCAGCTATGAAGCCTTAGCCTCAGAGCATTCGGATACGAATGAATTGGGAATCGATCAGCTTGTATTTTCGGGGAACTGTGTCGTCTTTGCGGATATAATCAGCTTTTATGTATGCGTTCGTCATGATTGCCCCGTATTTCCTGCCGTTTACGTTATATCACGAAACGTGCTCAAAAATTTTGTGGCCAAATTTCTAATGGCTAATTTCTTTGAGACGATTCTTTAAATGTCGGAAAGGCCAGGTATATTTATTTGGCAAATGACTGAATATACCGGTGCCGGCCATTTCCACAACACAATATTATCGGTAATAGAGCTATACAATGCATGTGAATTTATGACTTGATGTTTTCTTCCAAAAGACTGTCTATATACGTCAATTATTTAGGATGACGATGTGGAATCACCCTTTTAAAAACTTGTAAATCTTTATATAATTTAGTCTTAGCTCAAGCCTCAAGAGTTCAGATGAATTCAAATAACGATGTGCTGATTTTACTGCAGTAAGATTTTACCTGTATTATAAATGACAATATCATATATGAACAATGTAAATCAGTAAATGTATTTCATGTACAATTAAATTATTATAGAGCAATACGCCAAAAGGCCCAACATATAGGAAATGGGAAATCAACCGCGGTTATATCGTTACAAATTAGCATGCATGCATGTGTTACAATTCATTTTGTAGTCAAACAATTCAGTTTCTGATTTCGAACAGGAAAACAGCGTTTGGACTATATTGCCTGATAACTATAGCTAACCCTTACTTCACGCATTATGTTTTATAATTGTCGATAACCAAATTGAGGCGCTACAATTTATATTCGAAGTCAATAAATAAATAAAGTTAAAGGCATATATTCAATTCCTTGTGACTCACTCAAGGGTCTGATGTTAATAGTTTATTTAAAACATTGACTGGCAATTTAAGACAACAAAAATTGAATAGAACCCCAGTTATACAATAATTATCGCTACATGTAACCTTCCAGCTATAAAAACGGTCGCAAAATTATGTATTACAAAAATTGTCACAGTTCATTAAAAGTAGAAGTTATGAATTAATTTACATTTTATGGACAATAAATTTTCATGTCCTTTGAGCTCTGAAATCTCCCCATTTAAAACAGCACCATATTAGTTAGTCTATAAAATTACACACAACAGTGCATACAATATCTGATGGTATATATTTTATTACTTTATATTATTTGTTCATATTCAACAATGTAATAAATCAATGTCGCAAATTATCATTAAGGTACATTGTGTGCCATACAAGGAAATCATCGCATAGTACACTATATTGCGTCAGTACAGCATACAAATCGCTATATAAGTGATCATTAAAAACTTGATGATATTTGCAATTGATACGGTCTTTATGAAATGTATAAAAATAAGAATGAGATAAACAACTATATTGCATGCTGTATCACTCTATTATTGATATTGTGGCAACAGTGCAATCTTATTCTGCGTTTTCCGCATAACATTATTCAAAATTGTTATAATTTTATATAATGATACCACATGATTGCTTCGTTTACCAGACGGTACAGCTTTCGGTAGCGACGTGAAAAACACCTATTCGTACCTTTTAGGAACGCTATTTTCAGAGGATTTTATTGCAGAGATGTTCTATCGCTCAGCTTCTCAAACTTGTGCATTCCGTATTGGTTAGATGCTTTTTCGCACCGCCACGGAAATTAAAGCTACCGGTATGGTGTAAAGGCGGCCGATAACAATACTTCAAAATATGTTTCAGACCAACATCCTTCCATGAATAATGATTAAGTCGGTGAACAGGAAAAGTAATTGCAATGTGCAGCACATATAAAGTAAAGGGAATGTGCTGATACATGCAAGATTCGACCAAGTATAACTTCAAGCAGAAACCTCTCAGAACAAGCCAAGATGAACCAATGAAAATACATTGAAAAAAAGTCATTCCTGTTTGCCTCATTGTATCTCAAAAGCTTCAGAGGCAAAGACATTTTTGTATTCCTAAATACTAATCTTCAACCTGTATTGGATGGCCCTTACTCAGAGGACAAGGTTAAGGGGATGTACAAGCACTGAGCATCTCTGTTGATTCACTTGAGCAGTGGGCGTTAGCTAGCTCCAAACGAGTGGGGAGGGGAGTGTCCGACCGGCCAGGGACATGGACCCCTGGAAAATTTTTCTCAGTTTTAGGGTTCGCGAAACGCTATCCATGCATTTTATGCTAATCCGAAAGCCACAGATTTGGCATACTTTATGTCATAGATGGAAACATTGTGAGGTTTAACCCCCCCCCCCAGTTTTGAGAGAATTGCAAAATTGGTCCTGAAGAAAAGTGGGGTAGGGGTGGGGTTCCGGACTCCCCATTTGAGGAAACCTACTTCCAACATCTCCAAGATTTCAAACTAACTCGAAAGCTCATGCTATACTATGCCGGTAGTGTTGTCGAATATTTGTGGACTTGTGTGCAAATCTATAGGCGTACGAGACGGGGGAGGGGGGCTGCCCCAGTCAACGTTTAGTGGGGCAATTTGCTAGGTCTCTCCCCCTCGGTATAATACATTCTGTCATGATATTAATGTTGAGATATCAATATTAACGTTTCGTCAGAGAAACTGAATGAGACATTGAAATTGGTTGCAGTAAGAGTGGAGTTTTCCATTAACGTTGGACATATCCCTCCCATAGGTATGTGCAAACCTATAGTTTGGCTGGTCTAAATTCCCACGGCATGTCAGACACAAACATGAGGACTGATTTTAAGCTGTTTTGACCCCCTGTTACATCGAAATCGAGCAATTCGAGTCCATCATCACCAACTGCTGTAATACACTAGCTAGCTAATGTCAAAGTATCGAAACTGTTTTAATAGGATGATTGCTGTCATTATGTTATAATAATATAGTTAGTTGCAATGCAGGCAAGTGGCATTTAGCCAGAGATATACGACCAAAGTATTGAATTCATTCCCGGCCAGAGTCACCAGGAAACTGTGGCAGAATCTGGCCCACTTGTCTTCTGCTTGCCTAACAATCTTTACCTAAACGCTGGCGTACATTTCTTTCGCAAAAAAAACAACGTTGAAACGTTTGTACGAACGCAGTAATATACGTATGTACTTAGATATAACATGTTTTAATTACGTTACCCAAGACAATACCACTCATTGGAAACATGCGATGACTTCCTTAATGACCAACACAATATATATTGTTCGTCTCTTATAAGTACGTTTATAGCATTCCTGTAGGCGTTTGTCATTAGAGTAGAGTTATATGACGCCATGCTTGCACATTATGAAGTACTTAAGTTATCATAATGGATGTTTGCATGTGAAGTTCAGACGCATAAGAATCTCACAACTTGTCAACAAGATGTTGTTCCCAGGTGTTGCCAAGTCTGAAACAAGTTGTTATCATCTTGTAACAAAGTTATAACAGACTCACAACAAGTTGTTCCAACATGTCTGATATCGTCTGCACGTTACAAGTTGTTAACAAGTTGATGACAACAAGAAACCTTTCACGAACAGCCTGTATTAGTCTCGTTGGAACAACTTACACCTTATAACAGGTGGTAACAACTTGTTCCAGTCTTGTCACAACACCTGGGAAGAAGCAATGGGAACACATCCTGATTCGGAAGGATTTTGTAGATGGATTTTTTTATACCATTCCTAACCAGGAGTAGTTGAGAAAAATGCAACTAAAGGCCCTAACCCTCCGATGCAACACTCTAACCAACCAACTGAGCTACAGCTAGAGGCCCAGTTGTCGAGCTCTAACCGCAAGAGACTCTGTAGCTCATTCGATTCCTATCAGAGGGCTTATAGTTGCATTTTTCGCAACTGCCCCTAGTTAGGTCTAGTGTATAAAATGTACACTCGAGATTTCCACTAGGTTCCAGTCTCCTCACGTAAAAAGGCGCTGAAATACAAATAGGAGGTCCTAAGGGGTCAAGCTGACCTTGACCATATCTATCATTGATTTTTTAAACATGTTGAGTCAAATTTTTGTACTGTTAATTTTAAAATTAGTTATTAGTACACATGCAGGGAAACATTAAAAACTTTTTCATCTGCGGGAAAACAACGGCTTTGTCGCGGTTTAGCTGTGATTTTTCTGTTAACTAATTCTGATTTCAAATAGTTTCATAATCTTAAAACTTTCTTAAGCATACCATGCACACTGCTTGTTTGTTTCTTTACGGCTAAAAAATGGATGTAGGCGTCTACCACTCAAGTTTGAGCGTTGGCTGTTAAAATTTGGAAGTAAAGCTTGTCTTGAATGGTCAGAATTTTTCAATAATAAACAGAAAATTTCACATTCTCAGAAAATAAAATATTTTTTCCGCCCTTGAGTTATACCTTTATGGAATGAGAAAAGCAATTTACACTTTTAATATAATGCTATGAAAACTTCCTTAAATCTAGCAAGCACAATATATTTGTCCTCTTATGACAAGTACGCTGGTGTTGTAGGCGTTACAATGAAAGGCTCAAAAACAAATTCCTTGTTGTGCGTGATCCAAGTGAACTGAATGTCAAATGTCTTCAGCGCTATGATACAAGGAAGTTG